TAGGTGCCCTGTAAGTACTGCCCTTGGAGCTTGGGGGTTCCCTTTCACAAGTTCCTCGGTGTCTGCCTCTGCTAGGCCATATTACTGCTCGGTTTTCGGCTGCCCTTTGAGTGCTTAGTGGTTTTGTCTTCCTGGTTTACCTTAGGGTAAGAGGCAGTTTGCATTGGTGGGGCGCAGGGTACTGTGCAGCTTGTTTTCACCACTTACAGCGGCCGGCTCTGTTCCTTGGGGTACATTGCCCTCTTCGGGGGTTTTGTTTTTCTTTTTCTTTTTGCCTTGTAGGAGGATCTGCCTTGCTTCCCCCTTTTTTGTGCCTGACCTGTGCACGATTCTATTCTGGTGGTGCCCCCTGCTAGGTCCCCGTGAGTGTACACGTCCCTGGGGTTCAACTTTAGACAGTTGTTTGGTAGTTTTGGGCGCCGGTTAGCTGTACCCTGCCTGGGATTACCTGGGCGTGAGTTTCCATTAAATGCTCAGGACTCTGGGAATCCCCTAGGGGGCACGTGGGTCTGAAGGATGTGTCTCAGGAGTCCCCCCACCCCCCCTCGCTTCGTGCGAGTTCAAGGGTTGCTCGGTCCCCTTGACTCAGGGTGTCCCTCACGGTTTTTGCCTCCGTCATGCTGCCTGTTGGGTCAGTGACACCCTTGACCCAGAGTCATGCGAGTTCTGATGCTTGCTCGTGACTCAGTTTACCCAATCTCAAGATGATGTTCTACGGGTACAGGCGGCGCAGGTGTTGCATGCTTGTTTTAGCTTGGTTGCTCACCCGGATACCCCGAGGCTGCCTCGTTTTGCTTATAGGGACCTGGACTTGAGGGTGGGGGTAGCTTCCACCTTGGTTCAGTCCGCACCCCCTCATCTTTTCCCTGCTGTGGTGTGTCCTTTTCCTCCCCCCCCCCCCCTGCTTCTGGCCCCGAAACCTCTGAGGCTTTCGGAGTCGGGGCAGGGTTTAGATGGTCTTGAGTCTCGGGCAGTCTTGGGGGGGATGCCTCTTCCGGTGTGGTGATGGAGGCATTCGGGTCTGCTCTTCCTGCTGAAGCCTCTGGGTCTGACCAGTGGGCCCCCTTCTGTTTGGCTTACTCGGCTGCGACAGCTTTTTCTTTAGGGGCCGATGCTCTGGGTGATGACTCAGCCCCAGGTCCTGAGGATGGGGATCATAGGGCTGGAGAGGGGCTTACTTGGGGGCCCTTGGGCCCCACTGGACCCTGCCTGGGTTTTTCAACCCTCAGAGTGGGCTTATTGTTAAAAGAAGTGGGGTTCTCTCCCCCCCCCCCCTCTGCATATGAGTTGGATTTGGCATCAGCCTCTCCCTGGGTTCGGTTCCGTGTTCCCTCGGGTGCGTCGGTCCTGTCTTTCAGGAGGTTTTTGGCTTCCCTCATCCAACCTTCTGCGGTACGGGCAGCCCTGGCGGCTTAGCTCCTTCGTGACCCAGATTATGCCTCGGTGATGGATCCGTCGTCTTTCAGGTTTGGAAATTCGTTCTCTTTCTGGGTCTGTTATGAGGTTCCAGAGTCGTCCTGGCTGGTGGACTGCCCTATTTTTGCTTTGGAGGCTTGGCATTCTTTCTGTCGTTCCCGCACACTTGAGTGGCGTGAGGTCTCAATGGTGGTTCAGGTTTTCCTGGGGGGCGACCTTGAGCACCTCAATGAGTGCTTGTTTGCTCCTGGCCTTTCCCAGGATGTTGGCATTCTGCAGCTCCATGTGCAGGTTCCCTCCCTTGCGGCTGCACATGTGACCGAGGACTTGCGTGCCCAGGGCCTCTTGACTTCGGCCTTGCGCTTCTTTTCCCTCCTGGAGCTGTCTTCAGACTGGCTTGGGGAGGATGTGGGGGCGCTTGGGGTCGTTCTGGGATCCGGTGCCTTGGGCTTGGCGGCTTATGCGTCGTCTGCCTTGTTGAAGCTGTTTGCGTCGATCTTGCAAGATGCAGTTTCACTGTTCTACGCTTCTTGGCTCGCGTGTCAGCAGGCGGTGCTTGCCTCCTCCTTGGAATCGGCCTGGGCCCTGGCTCTTATGATGTCTTCGCCTTTTTGTCCCTTGCTTTTTGCTCCTTCGGCCAGTTGCCGTCCTATGTCTGACTTGTTGGTTCTCCAGGGGAGGCCTTCCCAGAGAGGTCGTGCCAGGGCCTGGGGTTCCACTCTTTGTGGTAGCCCACTGGTGCCAGTTTCAGGTTCGGCTCTGCCTTCGGACCCGCCTTCGTCTGTTTGTTGCGGTGCTTGCTCTGTGGGGGGTTTTGGGTCTCGTAAATGGCGCCGGCCCTTTCGCGGTTCACCCCATTGACGGGACGATGAGGGGGAGGCTTGCACTGTACGCTAATGCCTGGCCCCACAATTTGTGGGCGTTTCAAGTCGTTTCCTTCGGCCTGCGTTGGGTGGCCCCTCCTCCTTCGGGGGGTTCGGGGCTACCCATGCCTGGGCAGGGCAGGCCTCTTCTCCTGCGCTCCATTGAGTCGTCTTGGAGTGGGTTCGCTTGGGTGCCGTCAAAACAACGTCGTCCCTCAGATGGGTTTCCCGTCTGTTTCCATTGCCGAAATGGGATTGTGCAAACCTGAGGTTCATTCTGGACTTGTCCCGTCTGAACCTCTGGGTTCATTGCCCCTTCTTTCGGATGACTACGCTGTCTCAAGTTCGGCTCCTGTTGGAGCCGGGTTCTTGGATGGGGTCCTTGAACCTTCGGGTGTCTCATCTGCTGAGTTCTCGGGGTTTGGCTCTCCGGGCTGTTCATGTGCGGTGAGTGTGCAACGTCTTGGCCGACGGCCTGTCTTGTTTCGTTCCTCTCTCCATGGAATGCACGCTCGACTCTGACTCCTTCCGTTGGATCTGCCAGACATTCGGGTGCCCCGAGGTGGACCTCTTCGCGTCGGAGAGGTCGCGGCGCCTCCCCCAGCATGTGGCGCCCTTCCCCGATTGCGAGACCGTCGAGGTCGATGCCTTTTGCAGGACTGCTCGAGATGGGGGTTCCTGTACCTCTTTTCCCCGGTTTAGCTGTTGCTCCAGGTCCTTTTTACGTCTTTGTCGTTGTGCTTCACTTTCTGTTCGGGTGGTGTTGTCCTTTCTCTCTTGGTTGTTCCAGGACCGTCACCTTATGCCTAACACTGTCGCCTTGTATTGTGCGGTGCTGGCGGAGCTGCTTCAGCTTGCTTTTGGTATTGATGTCAGTTCTGCGCTGTTTTGCAAGCTGTCTTGTGCATTGTTTCACCTCCAGCCTGCTCATGCACCGCCTGAGCCGTCCTGGTCTTTGGACAGGGTGCTCTCTTTCCTTTCGTCTCCTCAGTTTGTTGTGGCCCTTTCAGTTCAGGATTGTTTCTCCAAGGCTCTTTTTCTGTTGCCATTTGCATCTGGGGGTCAGGTTGGGGAGCTTCATGCTCTTCTCTGGCGCAGGGATTTCTGCTCCTTCGGTCTTCGTGATGGTTTTGTTCGTTTGCAGCCGTCTCCTTCTATCCTGGCAAAGAATGAGACTGCTGCTTTCCGGAGGGCTCCCTGGGTTGTTGATGCTTGGTTGGTCAGGCCGGGGGTGCATCATGTTTTGTATCCGGTTTTGGCTCTTCGCCGTTATTTGCACACCATGGCTTCTGTGTCCTGGGACATGCTTTGGATTGATCCTGTTTTCCTTCTTCCCTGTTTGCGGGTGCGGGTCTCCCAGGTCGTCCATAGAGTTATTAAAGCTAGCCAGCTGCGGTCTATTCCCGTGCCCATGACGTTCGTAAGTTCGCTGTTCTTGCTGCCGTATTTGGCAACATGTCCTTGGCTGACATTCAGGTATGGGGCTTTTGGCCGTCGAACAGGATCTTGGCTGCTCGTTATCTAGTGAACGTCCCTGTTCCTCGTCGGGCCTGTGTCGCTTTGGGTTAGCGGCTGCAGCCAGTTATCTTGACTTCAAGTTGAGGAGTGAGCAGTGACCCCTTCCCGGGTAAGTCTCTATGTTTTCCTCTGGGTAATTAGCTCCAGTGAGCCGAAGGGGCTTCCCCCCAGAAAATCAGCATTGAATGTAATGAAGCGCCATTTTCTGGGTGAGACCCGGAGGCTCACTGGCATCCCTCCCTCCCTCCGGTCGGCGTTTTTTCACGTGTTTTGATATCCAGCCTCAGAACTGAAGGGAGGAAAGCCAGCGCAAGGAGTCTGGGGCTCCCCCTTCCTCCGCCCGGGAAGGGGGGAGCTGCGCAGATAGCGGCGTGGCAACGTGTGACGTCATGCTCATTTGCTCGTTTCTTTTAGGGGAGTTCTATCCAGTTGGTCGGGTTTTGATAGCATTATTTTCACCAGAATAGGGGTTTGTTTTGGGATGCTTAATGACCAGACCACACACTAGAATGTGAAGGGACAACAACGTTTCGGTCCATCCTGGACCATTCTCAAGTCGATTGTGATGAGGAAGTAGAGACAGGCAATAAATAGGCACGAGAGATGAGGAGCAAAGTGGTTATAATATAATATATAATATGGTTTTTTCTCCTTCTCTTTCGGTGGTTATAATAGGAACTGCCTCGTATGGGCCAATAGGCCCTCTGCAGTTCCTACCACTAGCCCCTCTACTACACCTTACTTTGCTCCTCATCTCTCGTGCCTATTTATTGCCTGTCTCTACTTCCTCATCACAATCGACTTGAGAATGGTCCAGGACGGACCGAAACATCGTCGACTCTTCACATTCTAGTGTGTGGTCTGGTCATCATACTTTAGCCACGTTATTGTGACTCATCGCCTGCAATGGGATGCTTACCTTTCTGGGTGCCTGACCCAGTCGATGGCAGACATAGAATCCTTCCAGCCACACGGGGGTTTCTATAGGCCATTTCTCTCCCATGTGTCTCTGAGGGGGCCAGGTTCTGGCTTGTGGTCCCCGGTAGGCAAGGACTCCATACACATGACTGATGGCAAAGTCTGACATTAGCATATCAGCCTAGTAAGCTCCATGGAGCCTCCGGGTCTCGCCCAGAAAATGGCGTTTCATTACATTCAATGCTGTTTTTTTGTCCTTCACTAATGCCAGCATGTATTCTTCAGGTATGGTAATGAGCTTCAGATCCTGAATATTGGTGGAAATGTGCGTGATAACCTAATTGAGGTATTAAAATTCACGCAATCAAATATTTTGCTTTCGTCACCTGACAAGTGTGATTGGTTCACTATGGCCATATTTCTTATATATGGCGGAAATGTTGAGAGGTAAGATATGCATGCTTTATGTTTTTTCTTATCCACTATATTGTCTAATATAAGAACTCATAATAACAAAATAAAAGGTTAAATATTTGGGCACCATTGGTAGCATCCCTAGATTGAAGCACTAACTATTCAAGACTCTTCCATCACATTAGGTATTGGATGACCTATCTTTTCCTTTGGGTCTTAATACCTTTTCAAAATGTTTTGTCCATTCGTTCTGGGCAGGAAGCTTGTGGAAATAAGAGACCAGTCAGACAGCCATAAAACCAGCGTTGAATGTAATGAAATGCTACTTTCTGGGCAAAGCCCTCAGTCCGTCCTCCACACAAAGACCCAAAAATGATTCCATGCACCCGCCAAACCCCCTGTTTATGAATGAAAAATGGTTTACACACGGCTCACAACTGATTTCGTTCGAACACTTCCGGAAAAAGTGCTTCACTGACGAATTTTGTTTGAATCACAATGCTATAAATGCTTATCCCACGTACTACAAATACAAATAATCTCCAACAGAACCTATACACCTAACCTAACCTATGCCTATACTGTATATGGACAATGTGCTATTATAATATTAATATAAATTTGAGAAAATTCCCGTTTTGAATGAATAGCATGTAAAAATTTAGGAATGCCTCTGTGGGGTTGACTGCTGGATGTAATAGACTTGAGTCGAGGACGGGTTGAAGTCCCGAAGGCACTCTGAAGCCAACCGAACTGATATATGCTATATTAGTTTGGGGTCATCAGTCACTGGAGTTCTTTAACCACTTAATTGCGCCAACCAAGTATTCTCGGTCGGTGGAAAACTGCGCCAACCGAGAAAACTTTTTTTTTTTTTTTTTCGTACCCATTCTAAACGTGTGAGAGGTTGGTTGTGTACGAAATGGACTCTTAGTTCTTCCAGTGAGAGGCAGCCATCTTGGAAAGTATTGCCAGAAGGCCCTAGGGCTGCTGACTGGGTTAGTACTGAGTGAGCAACCATGGGTGGCGCACGTGCCTCTGGCTCCCAAACACCTGTCTGATGCGGTGTTGAAAGATAACACTCTGTCAGTGAAATTCAAACCTTATTGTTTGAAGAACATAAGGGTCATAATATTGGTGAAGCTAGGCGCAATAAGGACCTAATACAAATGCAAGTGATACAGCACCTATGAGGAGGATACAGCGAGCGTATCCAGTTGTAACTCTGAGCGCCACCCTAGCCCCCCTTTGCTATCTCCAATTTATTTATATGATACATAGATGAATAATTTTCTGCGTTCAGTGATGATGAATCTGATACAAGTAGCATAGATGAACAGTGTTAGCGGCTTCCATGGTGGTGTTTTCCATAGATATTTTCAAGAATAAATGAATCTCCTCTTGACTGAAGGACACTCTTTGAGTCTAGCTGAATCTCTTCCAGACTGATGGACACTCTTCGAGGCTGGCTGAATCTCTTCCTGTGTGTGACCTTACAAAGAGGTCTTTTCATGACTACCTTACAAATTGATCTTTTCCTGTAATCTTTTCAAGACTTCCTTAGGTTTTACAAGCTTGGCTACGTACCACCTACAGGTACTAATGCAAAGGTGTACATGAGTACGTTATTTGCAAGCACACAGAATGAAGAAACAGGAAGCGAAAATCTATCTGTACCTGGTGCAACGAGAGCTAAGCCGCGCTGTGTACCATGGACTACTTCGTTGATTATTACTCACTTCCGAAGTACTGAGTGTGTAATACAGTGTGTTACTGTGTAAATAGTGTGTGAAACTGTACATATTTTAATTTTTGTGAATTTTTAACAAGTAATATTGCGACAATAAACATTTATTGCGGAAACATTACTGACACATGTATCATGGTTCCATGGAACATTATGAACGTTTTACTGTATACATATTGTAAAGAACACAAAATATGCATCATATACGATAAAAAACAAATAAAACCGCATTGGAAATACATAGAACAAATAATTGAAAATACATTTGTGGCAACACCTGGTGCTTGAATGGCCCGCGTGACCGTGTTTGGGCGAGTCATGCACGGGCGACCAGTCCCTGATGACGTCACAGAGCACCTTGTCCACGTCCCCACAGCCAAAGTAAGTGGAATTTGGTATTTATTTTTACATAGACATGTTCAGGGAAGGAAATTTATCATTTTACAAAGAAAAAAAACTGGGGGGAACACTTTATTTTATGCCCACAGGGGGAATTTCACAATAAATTCGGCGCAGCACGGTGGTTAAGCCTACCGGAAACCAGTGCCAGTCCGTGAGTCCCACACTAGGCCCAGCCAGGTCCGAACCTGGGAGGGAACTAGATGGGACTTCCTCCAGTTCACCAAGAACCCGAACCCGGCGAGCTGAGGAAGAACCAGATCCCTGGCTAGCAGACAAGCGGACTGACTGGAAGCCCAAATCAGCCAGATGTGGAGATAGGCCAACACCTGAACACCTAACAGACGCAGACGGGTCACCACGACCCGCGTGAGGCGCGTGAAAACGCGAGGTGCCAGGTTCAACCTGAACGGAAGACAATGAAAGCGGTAAGCACAAAACCCCACTACAAAACCGAGCCAGTCCCTGAACCCCGGATGAATCGGGATGTACCAATAAGCGTCCCGAAGGTCCAGAGACACCATCCAAGCAACTGGCTCCAACAGGAGCCGAACCTGGGACAGTGTGGTCATCCAAAAGGAGGGGCAATGAACCCAGGGGTTCAGCCGGGACAAGTCCAGAATGAACCGCAGGTCCCGCAGTCCCGTTTCGGGACTGAAAACGGACAGAAACCCATCTGAGGGACGTCGTCGTTTCGACCACGCCCAAGCGAACCCACTCCAAGATGACCTGGCAGAGCGCAGGGGACGAAGCCTGCCCCGCCAGCCCCGAACCCCCCGCAGGGGAAGGGGCCACCCAACGCCACAGGAGGCCGACCGAAACGACCCGAAACGCACACAAATCGTGGGACCAGGCGTGAGCGAACAATGCAAGCCTACCCCCCATCACCCCGTCAATGGGGCGAACTGCAAAAGGGCCGGCGCCCCTACGAGACCCAGAACCTAGCACAGAGCGAACACCGCGCTGACCAGACGAAGGCAGGTCCGAATGAGAAGCCAAACCCGGACCTGACACCAGTGGCCTACCACGACGAGAGGAACCACGAGCCTCGGCACAACCCTTTCGGGAATGCCCACCACGGGACCCCCGGAGAACTAGCAAGTCCAACATAGGACGGCAAGAAGCCGAAGCAGCCTGAATAAACTGCTCAACGGCTGAAGCTTCAGACAAGAGAGGACAAAGAGAAGACAACATCCTAAGAGCCAAGGCCCAAGCGGATTACACAGAGGAGGCAAGCAATGCATGCCGACACGCGAGCCGGGAGGAATAAAACGGAGCCACCGCATCCCGCAAGATCGGAACGAAAAGCTTCAGCATGGCAAAAAAAAAAAACACAAAAGCAAAAACCTTTCTGGGTGCATGACCCGGTTGATGGCAGACATAGAATGCTTCCAATTACACGGGGTTTCTATAGGCCATTGCTCTCCTTGCCTCTCTAGAGGGGGCCAGGTTCTGGCTCGTGGTCCCCGGTAGGCCCATAAAAACTCCGTACACATGACTGATGCCAAACTCTGACATTAGCATATCAGCTTAGTAAGCTCCGGGGAGCCGTAGGGGCTCCCCCCAGAAAACGGGCATTGACAAAGCCTTCACCAGACGAGGTCTACTCCGCTCGAGATGTCTGCCGCCAGTTGCAACAAATATATTATTACCTAATTATTTCAATGTCTCTAATTTTTTCTTAGTTTTCTGTGGGAAGCCCCTACGGCTCCCTGGAGCTTATCGGGGTAATGTATGTTATATTAGACCAGGACATTAGCTAAGGAGTTCAGACCTACCAGGGAGCATCGCCAGAACCTGGCCCCTTCAGAGAGGTTTTAGGGAGCAATGGCCCTGGAAAATCCCCTTGTGGTTGGGGTTTTTCTTATCTGCCATCGACCGGGGTTAGGCACCCAGAAAGGTAGGCATAACAAAACAAACCCCACATGGTAAAAAACTAAAACAAAAAACCGAACAAAGAGGTAGAAACTCCCTACAATCACAAGGAAACAAGCAAACAAGAAAACATCACACATTACTGTCACGCCGATCGTCCGCGCAGCCCTGCCCGCCCCGGACCTACCGCGCTGGCGGCCTAGCTTCAGTTCGTAAGCTAATGTCAACTGGGATAGACGCTTCTCTGGCCTCAGTTTCCTAGGCGGTGTTTGCCTTGTGTGGCGTTCACTGCTGTGTGTTGTGTTGTGCGGTGACCAGGAGTACCTCATCAGTGCCGGGGCTGCATGCGCTTAGAGGCTTCCTTCCCTAAGCGCCCTGTGAGTACTGCCCCTGCGTGACAGGGTTATCTTCCCTGGGGCGTTCAGGAACCATTCCCATAGAGGTTGTTGCTGCTCGGCATTTGCCTCGCCCTTGGGGCCAGCTGGGGCTTGGGGGCCCTTGTTTGGCCCAGGGTAGGGACTGGTATTGTGCTGGTTAGGGCGTCAAGGTGTTGCACGGCCTGCTACCTAAGCGATGACCGGTTCCTGTTGCCTCTGGAAACAGTGTACTTTTGTGGGGTTTTTCTTTTGTTTTTATTTTCTTTTGCCTGGTGGGGGTCTGCCTAGTGTGGCTATAGTTCCACTGGTAGTGTTTGGTGGCCCTCTGCTAGGCCCCCGCGATTGTACACGTCACAGGGATTTTCAGTGCTATACTCTACCACTTGTTTATTTCGGGTGTTTAACCGGTTAGCAACACCTTGCCTGGGCTTCCCGTAGTTGTTACCCTACGGGCCCTGGAAACCCCTGTCGGGGCTTGGTGGGCCATTTAATGTGTCTTCCGGGTCCCAACCCATCTTGTACGGGACCGTTGGTTGCTGCGCCCTTGTCTCCGGGTGAGAGTCACCACTTTTACTTCCGTCATGCTGCCTGTTGGGTCATTGACACCTTGACCCGGAGTCTTGCGAGAGATTCTCTGCTTGTTCTTCAGTACTCTCCTGATGTTATTACTGTTAGAGTACAGACGGCATCCGTGTTGCAAGCTAGGTTAGGTTATTTATTTATTTATTTTATTTATTTATTTATTTATATATATACAAGAAGGTACATTGGGTTTGTGAGAATACATTGGATAGTACAGTATTTACATTCTTGTAAAGCCACTAGTACGCGCAGCGTTTCGGGCA